TGAATGCACCAGAGGCCAGCAGCAGCAGGCAGGCAGGGAGCCCCGGCGGCTTGCTGAGCACACCCAGCTGCTGAGACCGGCTGCTGAGTCCCGGGCTGGCTGGACCCGGGATCACCCTCTCAGGTGCGTCTTCCAGGCGAGGGCCTTTCAAACTACCTGCAGCGATGCCCAGTGGTTTCTAACGACCAATCAATCCACCATCACTACTCCCCCTTCGTAAGCAGGAGTAGCCAGTATCCTGACTTGTACCTGCATGGGTATTCTACAGCTGTTTTTCCTTATCTAAATGAACCTAACAACTGTTACTCTGGTAACTGGCTTCACTCATTCAGCATTGCTCGGGAGAGTCACTGTACTGTCATTCTTGTTGCTGTACCGTATTCCGTTCGTGTGACTGCCACGGTGCATCTAGTCATTGTCCCGCCGATGGGCCTTGGAGCAGTTTGCGTGGCTGCCGTGAACATTCCAGCATGCATTCTAGTGAGCCTCCAGGTGCATCTCTGCCGTGGGAATAACTAGGAGACAACTGCCAGGACACAGGGTTTGCAGGTGTCCGGTATTAGTAGACCATCTAAACCTTCCTTTTAAAAAATATTATTTTATTGATTACGCTATTATAGCTGTCCCATTTTCGCCCCTTTATTCCCCTCTGCCCTGTGCACCCCCTCCCACCCTCATTTTCCGCCTTTAGTTCATGTCCATGGGTCATACAATAAGTTCTTTGGCTTCTACATTTCCTATACTATTCTTAACCTCCCCCTGTCTATCTTCTGTCTACCATTTATGCTTCTTATTCCCTGTACCTTTTCCCCCTCTCCCCACCCACTCCCTCGCTGATAACCCTCCACGTGATCTCCATTTCTGTGATTCTGTTCCTGTTCTAGTTGTTTGCTTAGTTTGTTTTTGTTTTTGTTTTAGGTTCGGTTGTTAATAACTGTAAGTTTGGTGTCATTTTACTGTTCATATTTTTTATCTTTTTCTAAGTTCCTTTAACATTTCATATAATAAGGGCTTGGTGATGATAAACTCCTTGAACTTGGCCTTATCTGGGAAGCACTTTATCTGCCCTTCCATTCTAAATGATAGTTTTGCTGGATAGAGTCATCTTGGATGTAGGTCTTTGCCTTTCATGAATTCCAATACTTCTTTCCAGCCCCTTCTTGCCTGCAAGATTTCTTTTGAGAAATCAGCTGACAGTCTGATAGGAACTCCTTTATAGGTAACTGTCTCTTTTTCTCTTGCTGGTTTTAAGATCTCTCCTTATGTTTAATCTTGGGTAATGTAATTATGACGTACCTTGGTGTGGGCTTCCTTGGGTCCAGCTTCTTTGGGACTCTCTGAGCTTTCTGGAGTTCCTTGAAGTTTATTTCCCTTGCCAGATTGGGAAAGTTTTCCTTCATTTTTTTTCAAATAAGTTTTCAATTTCTTGCTCTTCCTCTTCTCCTTCTGGTACCTCTGTGATTCAGATGTTGGAATGTTTAAAGATGTCTTGGAGGTTCCTAAGCCTCTCCTCATTTTTTTAAAATTCTTGTTTCTTCATTCTTTTCTGGTTGAATTTTTCTTTCTTCCTTCTGGTCCACACCATTTATTTGAGCCCCAGTTTCCTTACCATCACTCTTGGTTCCCTGTACATTTTCTTTTATGTCACTTAGCGTAGCCTTCATTTTTTCCTCTAATTTGCAACCATATTCAACCAATCCTGTGAGCATCCTGATTACCAGTGTTTTGAACTGTGCATCTGCTAGGTTGGCTATCTCTTTGTCACTTAGTTGTATTTTTTCTGGAGCTTTGATCTGATCTTTCATTTGGGCATTTTTTTTTTTTGTCTCAGTGCACCTGTTACATACAAGGGACAAAGCCTCAGGTGTTCACCAGGGCGGGGCAACCCACTTAGCTGTGTTGTGACACTGTAAGTGGGGAAGGGGTTTAAGAGGGAACAATGACATTTGTTCTGTCCTCTGCCAGATTTCAGTCACTTCCCCTGCTTCCCACAAGCAAATTGGGACCTTCTGGTGCTGATTCCCTGGTGGGTGGGCTTGTGTATGTTCTAGGATCCTGTGGGTCTCTCCAACAAACTCGCCTGTGAGGCTGGGAGTCTCTCCCTGTGCCTCAACACCCACAGGTATTTTCAACTAGTGGTTTGAGGTTTTATTTCCCCCGCACTGGGTTCCTGGGTTGCGAGATCTGTCTCGCTCCCCAGTTGTTCCTCCTGGTTTATCTGTACGCAAATGTGGGACCACCCTGTCTGCCAGCTACCACCTCGCCGGATCCACCGGCTGCCGATCGGCCCAGAGTCCTCTCTGCCTGGCTGCCCGTCTCCACCCCTCCTACCTGTCTGGGTGTTTCTTCTTTAATTTCTTAGTTGTCAGACTTCCATACAGTTCAATTTTGTCAGTTCTGGTTGTTTTCTGTTTTTAAATTGTTGTTGTCCTTCTTTTGGTTGTGCTAGGAGGCACAGGGTGTCTACCTATGCCTCCATCTTGGCCAAAAGTCCCCTAAACCTTCTTAAAGACACTTCATATTCCATTTTATTTTAATCTTTGTTGTGAATTTACTTTCCTTACTAAATTAGAAATGGTTTTTCAATTGAATACTGTTTATGCCCTGTCTCACTTTAAAATGAAGGGTCTCACATACAATATAAGATAGAAAACTGAAGTGAGAAAGCAGAAAAAAAAATAAGGTTGAGGCTGCGGGGAAGGATAAAGTGAATGTAATGGCCCAAATACATTTGATGTCTTAGGTGCTTTTTAAAAAGCCGACCACAAATGTGGGTGAGCTTCCTACGGATCAGTTCAAAGGAGCAAGTGACATGAATCAGTGTTCACTGGATAAATGTGCCAGCTGTTCAGCAGTGTGGCTACTCGTGGTTCTGAGATTTAAAAAATGTCAACCCAGGTCTTCCTGAAAAGGATACTGTTTGACATAAAAAATAAAGGACTGACCTGACTGGTGTGGCTCAGTGGATTGAGCACTGGCCTGCAAATTGAAAGACCACTGGTTCGAATCCTGGTCAGGGCACATGCCTGGTTTTACAGGCCAGGTCCCCAGTACAGGGACCTGAGAGGTAACTGATGGATGTTTTACACATCGATGTTCCTCTCCCTCTCTTTCTCTCTCCCTTCCTTCCTCTCTCTCTGAAAATCAATGAATAAAGTCTTTAAAAAAAAACCAACTTCATTTCAGTAACAACAAGAAATGTCAGCTTCTCCCCTTCCCTTATTACCTCCCTCAGTATAAACACGCCAAATCATAGTTGGCTATAGGCAACTCACAGGGAGGTAATGCAACCAGATACACATTTCTCAAAAGTTCTGACTAAATTCCAAGAGGGGGAATAACTAGACTCAAAGTGTGGGCCAGGGACCTCTAGGGGTCTCTGAGACCTTTACAGAGGCTCTGCGTGGTCAGAACTATTTTCACAACGCAGCTAAAACGTTTAGCCGTCTTCACTCTCATCTTCTCATAAGTGTGCACAGTGGAGTTTCTCAGAGGCCACATGACATGTGATGTAGCAAGGAATCCAATGCAGAAGCTGAGCTGAGACTCTGTTAAGCCGGACATCACAGAAATCAGCAAGTTACTTTGGCTTGGAAAATAAATGTTTTACACAAAAACATGTGTAAACCAGTGAGTTTGTTGTTGATGTTCTTACATGAATTCGTAAGTACTTTAAAATTTGTTTTACTTTCTAATATGGTCTCTCTTGATATCACCCATATAAAGAGAAACACTTTGGAGTTCTCAAGAGTTCTCAAAAACTTTCAAGTGTTCAAGGCTCCCGAGACCAAAAAGCTGGAGAAGCACCAGTCTAGAGGTGGATTTCCCCACAAGGATGTCTTTGGTCACTAATCCCAGAAGATAATCCATGAAAAATATTTGTGATCAAATACATCTGGGAAATGCTACTCCTCTCTCAGAAATCATCAAATTAGAAGCAGATAGACTTACTTAACTTGAACTGTTTCCTAAATGTATTTGGCTAAGATCTCTCTTTCGAGTGTTTGCCTTAGCAGCTGGGGGCCACACCTGGGGTGCATGAACTGCAAGGCCCTCGGTCCATCCTCCTGAGTAACGCCTCTGACAACCGGCCTTTGTCAAGTGTGGGCAGCAGAGTCCGACATTACCCCTCTGACAACAGGAAGTGATCCTTGTATAAACATCAGGGCAGCTGAGCAGAACAAGAGAGCCCCTTTCATCTCCGCAGAGGTGAACCAAGGGCAGGGTCAAGGCCAGGACAAAGATCCCACTCAGGAGACTAAACTAAGTCTGTTTTATCTGACAAACAGGCAACCGAAGCCCCGAAGTCCTCTGCGACACTCAGACAGTCATTTCGGCCTGGATATCTTCCAAAGCAGATGGTACACGCGCTTGCCTCGGTCATTCAGAAATCTCAGTTGAGCACCCAGAGAACATTTGACTTTAAGTTACACAACTTCCTGGTGGCCCCTCCCAGGAAAATAGTGGTCAAACGTGCCCCAAGTGAGTCAACTTCTTTTATTGGGTTGTTAACTATAAGTCAATTAAATGTTAGGGAAATCCTAGTAAAAAATATGACTTGGATTTTGGAATAATCCTATTTCTTTTTGACAATAATTATGGAATTGGGAGTTGTATGTTAAGCAAACTCCCAGTTGACAATAATAAAATTATGTCACCGGGCGGCCCCTCTAAAGAGACTACAGTAAGGAGCAAGGCACTCTGGGAGATCTAAAACTGGAAAAGACGTGTGTCTTCAAAGGCGTATGGTCCAGTATGGGGCCGGACGGCCCTAGGGACAGAAGTTAGCATTCTCACGCTCATCTCTGCAGCACCGCGTGAGGCACCGGGTAGAGAACCTCATAACACATAAACATTTGCGTCAACAGATTTGCTATTTGCCTTAAAATTTTTTACTTGTATGCAAACTGACGAACACCACGCAGTCAAATATCTAGTCAAATCATTTCTGGTACAATTTAATAAGTTTCTAAGAAAGGATCTACCAAAAAACACCACTGTGAAGTAAAAATCACTTTAATACACACATTTGCAGTACTGTTAATTTAACACCTATTCATATTCCGCATGTACTCCCGTTTAGTATGAATTGCTTCGTATTTATTATTTTCCAACATGCAGCAACCTTCGACAAGTTAGTGCGGCTGAATGGTTTGTTCTTAACGAGTACAAGGAACCGTGTCCCTGGAGAGTTTTATCCACTTTAACGTCTTCAAAGAGCCCTATGAGAAAGAGCCCTTCTCAGCACAGTGGCTTTTCACTGAAATTAGGATCCTCCCAAGGCTCCTGGTTGCTCGTACCCTATCACAGCACAGTTGGGCGAGTAGTACAGACTGAATAGTGAATAGCGAGTGGATCTCCAAACACAGCTGGGCCAGAGGGCTTCATTTTTAGAGAAGTAAACCGAATCACAAAACCTTCCTAATGGTGTGATTTGTTCCAGGGTTCTTCTGATGCCTAAGAAGGGAGATATTAATCCTTGTGCATAGTACTCTTATTTGTGGCATTACAGAGTTTTCTTCTCCAGCCGTCGTTCTGTAGCGAGGCGATTCATCACGCTTGCTGCGCAGCAGAGAGCATGAAGATGTCTAATTTCATAATAGAGTCGGTGACAGGCTTCTCATTTCCTGCCAAATGGGTTGGACCACACTTTTAACCCTATAGGAAGGAACGCGAATGAAAACAGGATTCGTTTTTAAACTTCCCACACTTCCCTCAACCCTCAACAAACAAAACGACATCAGAATGGAGTGTGTGCCGACATGCAGTCAGCGAGAGTGCGGGCACGCTGCCGGAACCCTGGGGTGGACAGCTGGGCAGCCGTGGCGGCCACGAGACTTTTACATGGCTCAGAAATCGCCCCACAATAGGAAGACACGTATCTGGCCTAGTTAAAAACTAAATTAAAAAGAATGTTGCCACAGATTACAAGAGTTTGGGTTAATAAGCTGGAACCTCTCGTTCTCAGCCAACTTGGATCATCTGAAAGTAACGAACCATCCAGCCATAAAGGGAACTTCTGAGTTTTTGTATAAAGCAGAATCCTGCATCAATTAAAATAGCTCCCAAGTAAACAGTATTTTCCCATGGGGGTAGTATTTAAATAGGTGCTTGGTAAATAAGTCTGCAAAACAGCTCTTCACGCTTCACACTGAATCGAACACGTTACATTTTCACACCCACTTAGCAAATGCAAAAGAGGGACCTGTAACTTGCAAAAAATATTCTGGAGGGAAATATTAAAATGAAATCTTGGGGTGGCACCTGTGAAGTGGCAACGGCTGTAAAGTAAGCAGCACAATCACGGTCTAGCCTCTGAACTAAAAAGATTCTTCCTGTTGCAAAGCAAACACCTCCCAACCCCCCACAACAGTACAAATGAGTCTTTGTTGTGATTTTTAAGTTTACCTGGTGGCTGCACATCTTCCTGAACAATACCAGCCCGATTAATAGCTTGTTCCTTCTCTGAAAAACACAACAGAAAAATTACTTTTTTAGCAAGAAGGGGGGCAGTGGTGGTGGAAGTCTTTGTATTTACATGCAACAATGACGGGGCAATTAAAAACCAATATATGAGTGTGATGAAATTCAGGCCACCATTACTCAAAGCTTTTAGGTTATAGAAGGTGGGTCCTAGAGCAAAAAGCCTGGATACTTTCAGTAAAAGAAAGCAAGCTGTATTTCAAAAGAAAAGCTGCAAACTAGCATCTTTTCTCTGTGCACTCAGCATTTTTGAAAAGGCAACAAAACAATAGAAAATGAACAATTTTGAAAGAACTGGTGGGCGTGATACTAGGAGGGGAAGGCTGCGGAATTGAAAGACCAAGTACAATTAACAGAAAATGATGTAGTTTATACGTCTAAAATGGACTCCACTGGAGGACTAGGCCCAGAGCTAAATATGCTATGTTTTTTATAGGAAATAGAGCAGAAAATTAATCTTTGGGTGGGTGGCTTTGGTTTGGGTAATTGAAGCTTCCCTAATTGATTGCAGGTGCTGTGCCAATTAGAAAGTGCATTTTAGCTACAGCGGCTTAACCAATCTCTTCGGAGATGTCCAACAGGCCAGGGCCCAGAGAAATTGGGCGTTTTCTGTCTGTGGGCTTCAAGCACTCTGACACATCTTTCTAAGTGGTTTAGAGTAAACCCAAGGCCTGTGAAAACAAAGACTTATTATTTTAAGTACCGTGAAAAACAAATGGTGGCTTTTCAGAGGAAAGACTTGGAGCCAAAAGATGTTTACTACTAAATTACAGTAATTAAATGTTGTAATCAGACCTTTGTTTTAATCAGGCTGACAGTGTTTCTTTAAATCCACATTTAGCTCTTATTTAATATTAGGCCCTTTTCTTGATTCTGGCCCCTGGATCCTCATAAAGTTACACAAGCATAAAGGTAGGAGAAATAGAGTTTTGCCAAATCGAATATTCATTGAATTTGCTTCTCCGGTGATGTGGCAGAAAGTCAATCCTAAGTGACCTACCTGATAGTTTTGTCAATGCTAAGTTTTGCTTCGGCAAATAAAACACTGGGCAATGGGGATTATGTGAATCTTGATATCCAATTCCGGGAGAGGCAGAGAGAAGACGGCGCATAATGAAGCCCATTACAGACGACGGCTGGCTGCGGCTTCACGGGGCCTCTCTGAGATGCAGCGCGCGTGAACGGCAACGACCCCCTGGACCCAGATATGCCAAAGACATCCCCCACCTGAAGGGGTGACAACAGAGCTTCTAAAGGTGTTATTAGACTTCTCTAAAATAACTCGACCGGTGATCTCGTGTCCTAAGGTGAAGTCCTGGAGGGCAGAGTCCTACCCCACTGCCAACTCAGAAGTCTCCGGGTGTGGCTGTGTCTCAGTCATGATGCTCTTAGAAAATGCCAATTAGTACAAGACTGTACTGTCACTGACTGTATACAAAGGTCAGAAAGATACAATTTTCCACACCTACAAGGTCCATTCTCCAGTATTATGGGAGAGGGAAGTGACGTGGTTTTCAAAAAAGTAATTGTCAGAAAGCGCTCCGGACCCAGAGATTTGAGGAAATCAGACATCCTGGTGTATCAAACACCGTCTCCGAGAGGCACTGTGAAGCCAAAGGAGCTGGCCGACTGCCAAGCACTGAAGGAAGCTGACTTCTGACGGCAGGGACAGAATGCCTAATTGTGTTTGAACCTCTTAGAATGCAGTGGGGAACCAAGTGAAGAGAAAGGAATCTCTGTCTTCACACTTTCTTGCTAATTGCTAATGAGGCTGGAGAGAGGTGGAGGATTTATTTTAAATAGACCATAATCTCTTTATAATCCTTGTCCTTATGCAACCACATTTTTCTTTTTTTTTTTGGCTTGGACAGGCAATTTAAACTGATCTGCTGAACCAGTTCTGACCAACTGATAACTGGTATTAGCCTCCTATCTGTATCCTCTGGTTCTTTAATCTGTTAATGTCTCATAAATACTCTAAGGCCAAAGCAGTCTTCTACAAATTCATGACGTGACACAAAGACACCGTCTGTGAATGCAGAATACGCTAAAACAAACTGGTCCTCCAGGGTTTAGCAAGTACATCTTGATGAGGTTGGCAGTTAGGTTTCTATTTTGTTATCATTAGGGAAATAGCATAAGTCTCTGAACCTCAGGAAAAGGGCAATGTCAAAGTCAGGGGTTTAACTAGGTGAACAAATCAGGGTAAGCTAATTACTGACTTTTCAGTAGCGAGTGAGTTTCTATCAGGAGTGAAATGATTAAAATGCTAATATGCGACACCTGGCCTGGGGCTTCGCCATGCCAGTTAGAAAAGCCCCCCACCCCCTTCCCAAGTCTCAGCAAGCCCGACTCTGCCCCCTGGTGCTAAGGCAGGGGTGTGATTTGTAGTTTTAATTGAGGATCCTTATCTTTAGTCAGAGAACCAAGGTATATTATTAAACTGGTAGTACATGCAGACTGGCAGGTTTCTGTATGGCAGTAAAAGAAATCACCTAATAATGCTTAAGTCTTTGAAAATGAGAACATGTCCTTATACTTAATGGCCATACTGATCAGGTGTAGAATATGACCTCAAGACCCCCTGCCCCAGCCCCTCCTGCCAAAAGACAGTTAAAATAATAAGCAACTACTCACAATAACCTAACTGGACAAGTGGCAATAATTGAAGGGAGACTACATATTAGATAATAGCATTTGTATCAGTATTAAATTTCCTGGATTGGATCATTGTATTGTGATTATGTAGAATGTCCTTGTTCTTTTGGAAATATACGCCAAAGTGTTTTGGAATGAGAACTCATAGTGTCTTTAATTTACTCTCAAAGGGTGCAGCAGAACAACAGTAATGATTCTATAACACGCAGATATAATTATATATGTACATATGTATCTATATGTACGGAAAACATATGCTATGTTTTACATATGAGGAGAAAGCAAATGTAGCGAAACATTAACTGGTAAGTCTGGGTGAAGGACATAACACAAATTTACTGCACAGTTCTTAGGCCTCTCCTGTTGGTTTGTTTTTTGAATAATGAAACTACACAACTGCAAAACAAGGATAAGGAAGTCCAACAACACTGTGATTGTTCCATGATGATTACTTCAAAGGAGCTGTTTTCAAACAGCAAATATGAAATTTAAAAACTCCTTTCCCAGAGCGCCCGCCTGCCGCGGTTGCCTGGACACAAACGTCCTCCAGGTGTGCACGGGGGGAATCCGGAACCAGATGGGCCCGGGGGCGCGGGTGAGTGTGAACCAGCGGCGGAGGGGGGCCAAATGGCCAGGGAGGCACCGGCTCCTCCCAACGCTGTAAACGCTTCTGTCCCCTCACCGGGGTCTGGCTGAGTCCAGAGAGCTCTGTGACACTGGTGAGAGCATGAGACTCGTCTGTCTGCGCATCTCATTGACTCCACGGTGAGAGGAATAAAAAGCATATTCTAAGCACCTGGCATGGATGGGATAGGGAAAATGTCCCTTTGGTAAGAATGATTTCTGCATCAAGTGATTTCTTTCAACTGTATTCAGACTCTGCACAATATGCTTTTAGCTGCGAGCAGCAGGCTGCAGCAAAACACACAACCGGGCGGCAGGAGGACGCACATCCCCACAGCCCTCGCGTGTAACTCACCCTCTGCTGTTAAACACCCCTCGCTGTCAGGGGAGACTGGGCACCCGCGAACAGCACACAGGCTGGGGAGTCAGGGTCTAGTGTCCACCCAGCAATGCGCTAAATGACGTGGGACAAGTCACCTATGTGACAGGACTTAGGGAGCACAGGGTCCTTGACAAAACTATGATTTTTATGCTTCTGCAGATCTAACAAATTTAAAAATGAACAGGATTACAGAAAATGACCTCATTCGGTCTGATGTCATGGGTTGGCCTAAAATGCCATATATAGGTTGTTGTTACAAGGCCGCATTCAAGATCATTACCTCGCTTTAGGATACAAACACAGATCAGGCGTCAGGTTACAGTGTCTGTACTTGTCCCTGAACGTGGGCTCTTCAGACGAGCCGTGCTGTGCCAACAGGAGGAGAGCTAAAGGCAACGTCTGGGATCCCCTCCAGAAGCACAATGGTCGCCATACTTCTTGTTTGGGATCACTGACCACCAAGGCAAACTGCCATCTCCCCGTGGTCACCATGGTACCAAGGCATCATGTGCAGAACTGACCTTGTACTTCACATAACGCTGGGTACAGTCTGGCTGAGTTAGTGAAAGGGCTGAAGATCACAGTGAATGTCAACATGAACCCCCACGAGCGATCTTGTGACAGCAGCTTGCCTGACTGTAAAGCATGGAAGATCTCTTTGGCTGGACTTCACCTAAGCTCCTCCCTCCTCTTTTCGGCTGCACTGTGGCTTACTCCAGCAGAAGCCTTGGAACCTGCCTGTCTCCACACTCACCACACCCGGGCTGGCCAGCACCAGTCCCACCAGCCCAGCTGAACAGCCCTACACTGGAGCCCTACGTGGCCTTGGCTCCTCCCTTGCTGCTACTGGCTCCACCTCTCAGGGACTGGGTGTCAGCCCTGCCCTTCCCAGAACTGTGGGCTTCTCCTAGGTCTGCCCAGAATCCTAAAGAATACAAACGTACGAGGGATAGACAGAAGAGGAGACCCAACAGGAAGGGCTACGAGGAGTGGCTACACGGTGGAAGCAAAACAGCAAAGCCAGGAGGACTGGCGGAGAGGCTGGTGGTTGTGCCTCTCACACATAGCTGACCAGAATGGAAGTCATCACCTGGGAGTGCCCACAACTTCCCAACGTCAGACCTAATGCAGCTGCATCTGAACTGGCAGGAGGTGTCCTGCCTTCCGTCCACGTCTGTCTCCTCCATCTGGTCTCGAGGTCCCATGCCAACTCCCATCCTCTCTCTTCAGCATCTTTCTTTGTCCAGAGACCCTGTGGGCTCTCCCAGCTCTCCCAGACAAAACTCAAACAAAACTCTCCCTAGACCCCGGACCTGCTGCAAATACACTCTGTCATTCTCCTCCCACACTATTTCACACACTCTCTACTCTTCAGTCCCTGCGGTCTGCTTTCTGCCCACTACCGAACCACCTAAAGCAGTCTTAACAAAATGACCTATGACCTTTACCTCTTTAAAAAAAATAAATCTGATGGCTATTTTCACTTCTTCCAGCCTCCAAGAAGCCTAACCCTGCTGAACACACCCCTGTCCGGGAAGAGCTGTCTTTAATGCTCTCGCTTTGGCCACCACCCCTTCTCGTGAGTGCTTGCGCTTCAAACCGTGTTCACCACCAGCATCCTGGTCCTGGGCCAGCTCGTCTCTTTCCGCCTCTGGATGCTGCCTGGGACCCCTAGCCTCCTTCCCCATCCAATGCTGATGATGCTGCATCTCTAGCTCAGCTCAGATCCCAGATCTCAGCTCCAGACTGGCACCTCCCATTACCCATGGGAGAGCTCCAAGAGCACATCCTGATACCTGAAACTCAACACATCCCACTGGCAACTAGCTCATCCTCTCCCCTGCAAAACCGATTCCTTCTTGTGTTTCTTCCTAAATGACTAGCACCACCATCTCTTCAGCTGCTGGAGCCAGAAAGCTGAGTGCCTCTCTCCTTCCTCCCCCTCCCTTACTCTGTGGCTCATCAGTCACAAATCCCTGTGGAGTTGACTTCCTAAATACAGCTCCCAAATTCAACACTTCTTCCCAGTCCCACAACGACCACTCTGGCTCAGGCTCCAGTCCCTTCGCCCTCCTCTCCCGTGGCCACAGGAGGCACGGCCTTCCTGCACCTGGTCTTCTCGCCGCCAGCCTTGACCCTTCCGGGCCCTCCTTCACACTACCGAGCAAGGCCCACAAAGCGTGAATCTCATCACCCCTTCTCCCGACGGAAGCACTTCAGTGGGCCTCCACTGGCTGGACCCAGAGGACGGCAGAGCGCTCGTGAAGTATTTCAGTCGAGCAGCAGGATCCAACTCAAAGAACAAGCGGCAGGACGAGCACCCCAGCCAAAGACCGGGGTTTCTACACCTCTTCGAACGAACGAGAGTGAGTCTTCCCAGCTACACATTCTCACCGCAGAAACAGTAACTGATGATGCATTTCAGGAGGAAGAAAACGGAAACGAGAAAGGAGTGAGATGCGAGGACGGGAGCCTAAGACTGCGGGCAGAGACAAGCACCGGGGATTGTGCGAAACACCGCGGTTCAGTCGGGAACACACACAGCGGGGGCTGAAGGGACTCATCACGGGGCTGGGACGGGGCTCGGGGTTCCGAGGTCTCTGTGTATTTCACAGACAGGGAGAAGACATGACTCACTGTAAACGATAACAATAAAATAATAAAAACAGAATGTAAACTTTCAAACTACATAGTAGAGGAGGGAGAAAAATTAAGCCTTGAGCATGAAGGAGAAGAAAGGAAGTATAGAGATACAAGAATAGAAAACACAAATAAGATGGAGAAAATAAAAGTAAATATAATAGTAAATATAACACATGAAAATGAACTCAATCTAACAGTGACAAGAATTAAAAATCCAATTCAGGCAGACTGTCAGAGGACAGCTATACCAGGAAAATATTAACCGAAAGAAAGCTGGTAACTATAATATCAGATAAAACAGTGTGAGAGAGGGATATTAGGAATAATGAAGGCCTCTACATAATAACTGAAACAGTTCTCCAGAATATTCTAGGTCACGTGCACCTAGTAACGTGGCCTCAAGATACCCACTGAAATAAATAACAGAATTAAGAAGTTTGATCTGTAATCAACATATATAGAACCCGTATCCAACAACCTGAGATGATGCATCATTCTAAGCACATAGAAAACATTTGTAAAAATTGATCTGTACTAAGCCATAAAGCAAACCTTCACCAATATCAAAGAATCAAATTCACAGTGCACATTCTTTGACTACAGATGCAAATAAGGTACAAATGAGCAATGAAAAGTAACCAGGAAGACCACCATGGCAGCCAGTAGAGAGGGCCGGGAGTCGGGCCAGGTGGAAGCAGGGGGACCAGCTCAGAGTCCAGGCACTGGGTCGGGGTGGCGGCAGGTTGCTGGACAAAGGTGAAGTGAGACAGAGAGAAAGGCTCTGTCTTGTTCGGTCAGGTACACCCAGCACCTACCACAGTGACAGGTATATAGTAATCACTACAATCCAGGCTAAAAAAAAAAACTTTTTAAAAAGCTAAATAAGTGCTAGCTGAAATTCATTTAAGCGCTGTCCTCCCAGCAGTCTCCCATAGTCACGAACGCCGCCTCACCTGCCCAGACCCCAGGTTACTGCCAGGCCAGCCAGCCCGGGGGTGAGTCTGCCCGCTGAAATGTCCTTATCTCGCATCCCTGCTCTTGTGGGTCCTTATTTTTTAAATGTTTTTATGGGATGCCAAACATAAGACTACACTAGATGCTATCTCACCTGTTTACTTCATTAAAAACATCCCCAAACCTGTCAGTTTGGTCTGTAAGCTCCACTGCCACAGATGAGGAAAGAGGCCGCGCTCAGAGAGGTTAAGTATTTACCTGAAGGTCCTCATGTGCTAGACCCTCATCTGCCTCACACCCCTTTCTCACTCCCTCAGAGAGGCAGTATGGTGCACGGTGTACCGATGAAGGGCACTGACTCAAACCCCGGGTCTGTGACTTGTCAGCTGTGCGTGCTGGTACGAGTTCCTTAGCTGTTCCATACCTCATTGTATCCACATATGAAATGGAGAGCATGCTCACAGAGCAGCTGCCACACAGGGCTGGTATGGGAACTACACAAGTTAATATGTATGAAGTGCTTGGAAGGGTGCCAGACATAGCATGTACAATAAACTTTTCAGGACATATTATTTGTTTAGTATTATTTATCTGTTCAAAAAAATCAGTTACGACTCTCATATAAGAATTGGCCAAATTAACTAAAACTGAACCATAAAAGTGGGCAGGTGCAGACTGCCCTCCAGTTAAAATGCATTTAGTGACCACTCAGTAAGTGTTCACCTAGCCGGCCTGCCTCGTCTGTCTCAGGTGACTCAGACAAATGCAGATCCCAGAGAACCTCTATAGGCTGTAGTTGGGATCCATGGCACAAACCACAGCCTGATCATCTGATCTAGGCCAGGATCTCCCGATCTCGCCACCATTTGCATTTTAGGCTGGGTGATTCTTTGGCATGAGAAGCTGTCCTGTGCACTACAGCAAGTTTAGTGGCATCCCCGGCCTCTATCCACTAGCTGCCAGTACCACACTCACCCCACCCCACCCCCAGCTGTGATAAGCAAAATGTCTCTAGATGGAACCAAATGTCCCCCGAGGGACAAAAATCACCCCCAGTGAAAAGCCACTGCTGTAGTCTTCAAAACTGAAACTTTTCTAGTGGGATCCAAAGCAGACCCCTTGTCCCGTGTTCAAGGCTCAAGGCCGTAATAAAATAGCCTGTGGCAGGGATCCAATAAAGATGATGGAAACATTACACGCAGGGCTTCACGCAGCCCTGTTTACCCCCATGCACAGTGCATAGGCTGGAAGGCAGAATGCAGAGAGGCCATTTTAATCTTGGCTGATGAAAAGAAGCTGCAAGGAAATTTAAGTGTGTATTTAAAAGGCTCTACCTCCGGAAACCACATGTTGTATCATTTGTAATGGGCAGAGCATTTACACGGAGCTTTCGCCTTCAAATCGCCAAGCTTTCAGCCTCCTCTAATATTCTCAAGGGGCAGGGCTGGCTCTCATTCAACTTCAAGATGATTCAGGTTTCCTGGAGAACAAAATGAGCCTCTAATGCCTAATATTTTCTCTCTGACAGATGGTTTCAGATGTATCAAAGTGCTAATCCTTGCTGAGGTATAGGTCTCAAGGAAGGAGAGTTTGGCTTTTAGCATGATAGGACTTGAATGATTAAGGAGGAAAATTACTCCCAGGATATCCACCATTGTCATGCGAGCAACCAGCTTAAAATGAAGACAGCAGAATCTGAAAAAAGATTTGAGAAAAGAGGAATAACTAAAAAGCCCAGGTTAACAGTTTAGGTTAGAAACATTTCCGCCCAGGACATCTCTGGGAATGGAAATGAAGTTGCCAGGAAAATCACCTTGAAATTCAGTTTGATTAGGGTTCAATCTGCCTGCCCCCAACATCACCACTTCCAGCTACAGTGTGTGGAAGCTCTGGAGACAGAAGACTGGTGGGAATATTTGTCTTGCCATTTACTAGGTGTGTGACCTTGGGCATGCTATATAACCTCCCTGAGCCTCAGTTTCCCCACCTATATAACGGGTGATAATACCAACCTCTAGAGGAGGTTGCAGAAATGAAACGATCCAATGTATGCCTAACCTGTCACATAATAAGCAGTCGGTTAATGTTAAGAGTAAGTATGAACTAGTATTTAGTGTCGACCTACTATGTGCAGACTGCTTTAATTACCGCCTTTGAGTCCCACGGGTGGCTAGAGGGTTTGATTTTAGATATTATAGAAATAGTTACTTATTAATGAGGATGCTGTTTCAGATAGATTGAGTCACTCGCCTACAGCCACAAAGCTGCCACAGTGGAATTAAACCCGGGCCAGCCTGACTCTGGAGCCAAGATCTTTCCACGTCCCCACGTGGAGATGACTGGCGGCAGGGAGTTACTGGGACTAGGTCATCACACCGGATCAGAGGTCACTCACGGTATTCCTCCAGCCGCATTAGGGGCCGGAAGTAGATGGGGTAGAAGGCGGCGCCGACCAGGGAGACGAAGCCGCCGAAAATGAGTGCGGTCCGCAGGTTCCGGGACATGGCGCCCGCAGGGACTGCCCTGACCGGCTCAGAGGCCCCGCACCTCCGAATCACCGGAATCACGCTCCCGCTGCTGGGTCGGGTCGGGGCGGAGCAGCTTTCCCTTCCGGGCCTTGGGGGCGTGGCTAGGAGGGGAGGGGAGGGGTTAGGGATGGGGTAGGGCAAGAGGCGGGTCTAAGGGGGACTGGGCGGAGCTGGGGCGGGATGGGGCGGGGCCTCAGCTGTGCACACCTCCTCCCCTGCGCTCCCTCGTGGTGTAAGGCACCTGCGGATCACTAGAGGTGCTTTGAGACTGGAGCTTTTGCTGAGCTCCATTCCGTGGACCCTGTACTGTCCCCTGCCCTGCCCTGCCTTGCCATGCCCTTCTGCTTGGTTCCCACCTGAGCCACCCCTCCCACAAGTCTTCTGACCTCTTTTGCCACTCCCTCCTATTCCAACCACGATTTCCTGTGCTTCCCCCATTAATTTGATTTTAGCAACTGTCTTTCAGGGTCCAGATGCTCTGTGGCTCCATGACTTAATTATTCCTTATACTAGTTTGGCCCATTTTACAGGTGAGGGAAGCACAGCTTGGCTGCCTGGCTTTGGACAAGTTACTTGGCCTTCCCAAGAGCGATTTGGGAGGATTAGAGGCAAACAGGCAAATCGCCTGGCCCAGGGGTTCTGAAACCAGAGCCGCAGGACCAAGACTACCCTGGGAGAAATGCTGTTTCAACATTCACGCTATAAGAAGAATTTTTCTGACTACGTTTTTCCATCCTTGCTCTTTCCCTGTTCCCATTACGAATGAGGGTGGGGAGTATATAGGGATCAGTACAGGGCAGAGAGCCAGCCGCCTGTCCCACAGATGGGACCTTGGGGCCCTGCCTTATTGCCTGGTGTGGGAGACCACTGAGAACAGACATCTGCTTCCTCTCCCTATGACTGCCATCCTCCATCCTTCTGGGTGGGCTGTGTCCACCTATGACCTGTCCAGGGGTATACTGGGCAGCTGAGGCTAACAGTCTTTGGGCCTTCACCCAATCTTCCTTTTATTATTTTTTATTTTTTTAAAGATATGAATAAATTTATCATTATATTCCTTGACATTTGCTCCATCGGTAGGTTGGTGTGGTGCCTCATGTCCGCCTGCCAGAAGGCTCTGCCTCCAGAGAAGCTGAAGGTCTAATTTAAAAGGGCACGTGCCCAGGAAGAGTGAGAGAGATGTGGAGCCCAGGCTGATAATGTCAAGTACACTGATTTGTCTCTCGGTCCATCCTGTTCTGGCTTCAGAGAAATGAGACAGTTGCTTGTGAGATGGGTGCCATTGTGTGTAGTTTCTGTACCTTGAACTCTCTTGTGTCAGAGATCTCAGTCCTGGTTTGTTACTGTTCTCAAGGCTCATCAGATTCCTTATTTCTCCAAACATGGAAACTGGATCTTTGATTTTAAAACTGAATTTGGACTCTTGACTCTGGAACTCCAATTTCTTTCTTTTTTTTTAAAGATTTAATTTATTTATTCTTAGATAAAGGGGAAGGGGAGGAGAAAGAGAGGGAGAGAAATATTGATGTGCAAGATATACATCAATCAGTTGCCTCTCACATGCCCCCAACTGAGGACCTGGCCCTCAACTCAGGCACATGCCCTGACTGGGAATCGACCCAGCGGCCTTGTGGTCTGCAGGTCAGCGCTCAATCCACTGAGCCACACCAGCCAGGGCATGGAACCCCAATGTCCTTAGTGAGTTGCTCTCTGGAGTTAAGTGCAGGATAAGGGTAGTTTGTAAATGCCGAGATGAGGGTGTGTGACTGGGAGGAAGTGTAACTGGTTCCATGCCATCTACCTTCTCTACTTTGACTCTTCTCCATAGGATGGTCTTTGTCTTGGCTTCCTTGTAAGTCCTCCTCAGGTTCTAATCTTTTCTGGACTCGGCGCCTAGCTCTTCTATTCTGAAACCAAACCTAGATTCTAGACTCTTCAATGTCCACTTGTAAAGCAAGCTTTTGCTTCCTAGTGTAACTCACGTAAGGTTTTTGGTTGAATGCTTTGATGAGGATTTTCCGTTGATCTTCTGTGAATCTGGTGCAGCCTTGTCTCCTATTCCTTGGAATTGGAGAACAGATCTGAGCCATGCTGGAAGAGAGAAGTCGCAGCCTTCAACCAGGAAAACTGGGTCTTCACTCAATCTTTTACAAATAAGAATGACACCAGCAGCCAGGAGCTGAGGAGCAGAGGGGATATTCATCTTGACCTCAGCAGCATTATTCAGTCCAGGAAAGATCTATGATCTTTCAGAAATGGTATCCTTTCAGAGCACCGGTTTCCCCTTTCTTTGTAGTGTTGTAGTTGAATCAAGCTCCTGTCTACCTCTGTGGTTCCAGAAGCATATAAATCAGGTGTTCCAGCTGTCAGCAGATTTATGAACTATCAGCCATGCCCCAAACACCAGGCAAAATGCTACGGGGAACACAAAGATGAATAAGATGTGACCCTTGCTCTCCAAGATCCTGCCAATGTGGATGAAGAGACAGGACATATACATAAAAAGATAACTAATGACCTGATCTTGCCGGTGAGTGATATGGTCCTGCAGGCTACAGAAGTTCAGAGGAGGAAGACGGATGACAGTAGGGGGAGACAGCTGCTCCTCAGGCACTTGCAGGAGCTTGTTAGGCAGAGGGCAGACTTCACAGCGAAGAGGGGATGAAGCGATGCATGCTTTATATCATGTGATATGAAAATGCCCAGGTGCCGTGCGCATTTGTCATTTTAGCAGCATCCATTCGCTTTCTGCTAATAGTACCCTGAATATCTTCTGGCAAACCACTCCTCTCCCATTCTCAATCCATGAGGTAAGCTGGGGCTTCTCCCCCCAAACAAATTCTTACTCTTCCCCCAGCTCCAGGAGTTAAGCACATAGCCACGCCTCACCAAGCTCCTTCACCACAGGGGTTGACTGGCATAGAGCACAGGTCTTATCATTTAATATAGCTGCAACATCCTTGCCACGTGACCCACATTGAGCCAACCATAGACTGTCTCAGCTGCTGGAAAGCTGGGTTTGAACTTGAGAGGATGGGACTCAAGCTGCTGGGGACCACCATTTAGAGATGAGAATGAGGACAATATGGCAGAAGAGGACCTGGGACAGAGGTAGAAATCAGATGCTGATGTTAGCTTTGAGCCCCTGAAGCCAGCTAACAGGGGGTCTACCCCTGGATTTCTCATCAAGTCCCCTCTTCACAGTAGCCAGATTGAATTGGGTTCTGTCTTTGCAAACAGAAGGAGTTCCAGATGAAACCACTATGAGTGTAATTTCATTTGCTTAACACCTCCCTGAGCTGCAAGTCAAGGACTGCCCTGTTCTCTAGACCAACTGTGCCATTTGTATAGCTTATTAGCATCATCATTACACCAATGATTTTGCCCTTGCTTCCCACCAAGTCCTACCAAATATAAGTCTATCTTTTGATTTCAGTGTTTTTCCCATTTCTGAGAATTCCACTGACCCATAAATTAAATCAGCAAGGACTTATTGCATGCCTACTCAGGGCAAAGCACCGGACTGGTTGAATGGGAACACAAAAAGGCAGCAGAACAATGTGCCAGGCACTGTTCAGGTTCCGGTGGAGGCAGCAGTGAGTTAATAGGAGAGTCTGTTGTCCTCATGGCATCTGCAGTCTGGTGGAGGAGTAAGATGTGGCAATGGATAGTAAGTAATTGCTTCTTGGCCACTCAGCCTCCTGATTCCTTTCAGAGAGTGACTTCTCATCCTGGCATTCTTGGTTGGACTGTAAGTTTAGGGGCCCCGTGTTTTCCTATCACTAATAATGTCAAGGCTGTAGAACATTTCCCTGTGCCAGTCACAATCACAGGTTCATCCCTTCAGTCCTCCCCAAACCCCATAAATAGTCGTCTCTATCTGCAGAAGGGGAAGCCAGGGCATAGCAAGAATGACAAATTCAAAGTTACGTAGGTAGGAGGTGGCGGAGCCAGGATTCAAATTCAGACTGTCTCCAGAGACCTGCACTTACCATCAACCTACACTGCCTTACAGAGTCAGTGAGCATGTGTTGTCTGGGTGGGGCACAGTTCTGAGCAGGTCCGCCTGTTCTTTCCCACAGAAATCAGAACTGTGAGGAGAGGATGGTGACACAAGGACAAACAATGCAGTTGAGGTGGACTTGTTTTTAATCCTCACCCAAGGACATGCTTATTGATTTTAGACTGAGAGGAACGGAGAGAGAGGGGGTGGGGGGAGAGAGAGAGAGAGAGAGAGAGAGAGAGAGAGAGAGAAACATCAATGTGAGAGAGAAATAGCAATTGGTTGCCTCTTGCACATACCCCAACCAGACATAGAACCTGCAACCTAGCTATGTTCCCTGACCGGGGATAGAACCCACAACTTTTTGGTGCACAAGAGGATGTTCAACCAACTGAGCCACCGGGCACAGTGGGTTTTTGCATATCTCGCACTTGCCCAGAACCCTGGAGCTTCCTGTCATTCCCCCTTGCAGTCCCTGATTTTCCACCATTCACTGTGTTCTGCAGACCACCCCATGTGCTTCCATAACTCCCTCTGGACTTCAGTTAGTGTCAGTTTTGGTTGCCTGTCACTAGGAACCCTTATAGAGACAGAAACTTCCACGTGGCATAGACAAAGGGCTTGGGGCTTCATAGCTGTGTGAATGTTTGTGAAAGCCAAAGGAAGCCTTGGGCGTGGGGGAAGGTATTTGTGCAAACAGAGAAAGCTCAGGGATGTACGGAGGCAGAATGCAAGTCAAATATGTCAGGAGTCCTAGGGAGCATATTTTCATCTCAATCACTGAGAAAAAAATTGGTTTGGGCTCCTACCCAGCCCTTTCTCCTTCTCTCCTTGGATGTGAAGATTGAATGCTTGCAGGGAGCAGACCCCCAGTGGTGTCTTGCACGGGTTTCAGACAGACATCAAAGTTAATCCGCTCTCTGATCTAAGCAAAATGGTGATGAGGGTTTCATGGGACAGCAGCTCCACTAATTGTGGCACTGCAGCACAGCTGATGTATTTTTAGAATATTGTGGATTCCCAAGAAGTATCAGTACTTTCTGCAGAAAAGCAGTCAGACGAGAAGGTTAGGGCTTGGAATAGAG